TGTCAGGCTGTGCTGCTGTTGCTGAAGCTGCTGCCTTTCAGTGTCTCTTCTAGTCCAGAGTCGCTGTCTCTGCTAAACTACTTACTTCTGGTGGCAGAGGTCCAGGTAAAGCAAGATGCAGAACTTTGTTGGTAGCCTGAGTGATAAAAGAGACGCTTCCTTTACAGAGGTAAGAGAAGCAAACAATCTATACGGACACAAAGGTCCACACGACATCATTGTAAACAAATGTGCTTGGGAACAGGACAAATATCTACATTAAACACTCAAAGGGAGTCCCCCTGAGAGGGCACTGCCTGAGTCCAGGCTAGATGACAGGCCACTGAAGTTCTTTCCAAAGAAGCGATGGTTCACAATTGACCAAGATTCGCTAATGCTATCATGTTCCTGGGAGGTGGAACTGCAGCAAGAAGCCAAGTTGAGTTTCTTAGCAGCATGATGGGTCTGCAAGAGCTATGCTAGGAGTGGCTACCAGTGTTAGTGTATCCCTGGATAAACTGGTTGACGGGAGATAGAAATCATCAAAGGGAAAAGGAAGCCCCGGTTCTTTTTTCTGTTTGTGACAGAATAAGCATGGCCTGGTGCCATGGTGCTCCAACAGTGGCTTAAGACTTCTCAGGGAAGGCCAGAATTTCCATGAGTGGTCATAGGCTATTCAGCAAGGACCCGTGCCGGTCTGAGCCCCCTGCACCCCCTTTTGTAAAGCAGCCTGCAAATAATTGAGATTAACCATTTGGAATCCTTTAGGACAATTTGATACTGCCGCAACATCTAAAGCCATGATTTTTAAAATAACTTCTTTCTATTTTAATTAACTCAAGACTGATTAGGGAGAAACTGACCCTTCCGCACAGATAGTTTAAGAAGCACAGTGGTAAAACCTAGGCCCTCTTGCCATGTCAAACTCTACCAGAGTGAATAAGGGCTATACAAAGAATTAGGTATTATCACCGAATAAATAAATGTTAATGAAACAAAAATTCCGTCTGATAAGCCAGTCTAAATATCCTGACTGCCGACCACCCCATACTGGGACACTGCTCTTGGGCATGAATAATAAATTACATACGTGTATAAACGGACACTTGTCTTTCTCATTCAAGTTTGCAGTCGGTGAGTCAATACCTTTGGGCTTCCCCATTGGCAAACAGAGTTGAGTGACCTTTAACCCTTTACATGGGGAATTGTTATTTGCAAAATGAGGATAATAAGATTTACCCTGTTAAGTGAAATGGAAGGTATTATTATTATAAATATTGATTTCCTGCTAAAATAACTGGGTATACTACTAATTAAAAGAGGAGTAACACCAAATAATCCAGACTTATAAACCTGTCTTACTGGGTTCAGAAAAAGTATAAAACACTTAAAATATTTACTTCTAAGCATTTTACATGAAAAGACTTCCTTTTTTGTATTTCATCAGAACCAGTGATTATTGCTAGGTGCAAACCTGGCACCCAGTCCTATACGGCTCTGCAGAGTGATTTTTAAAAGTCTTTTTTTGGAGTAGGATCAACTGCCATGGTTTGAATGGTTTTATCTGAGCCTTTTCTTCACATCAAAGCATCTTACATAACTTGGAGTTTTAAAATCAAAGTAAAGTGAGGCTGATTTTTATTTGGGAGAGAGGGATAGGGAAGGAAAGGATGCAAAGACATGGAAGAAAGATCAGATAAGAAGTTTTGGGATAACTAGACTGTGGGGAGCCCTCAAGTCCAGAGACTCCTCAGTCCAAGAAGGATTCCATCTGTGTTGATGGCAGGCTGCTACCGCATCACAGTGCGGAGGAAAAACAATATCTTTTTTTTCTGTCCGTGCATGGAAATGAGGGAGGAGTTTGTTAAGGAGCTTGAACACAGCAGAGATCTAGAGCCAGTGTGCCCTAGCAGTATCCAAATTATCAAGTAGATAATTT